AAGTCCTACACTTAGGACAGAAGAATCCCATGCGCTACTATATAGCCTGGGGACTGAGTGGCTAAGCAGCAGCTCTGCAGAAAAGGACCTGAGGGATGGATATGAGCCAACAGTGTGCCCTTGTTGCCAAGAAGGCTAACAGCATACTGGGCTGCATTAGTAGGAGCGTTGCCAGCAGATCAAGGAAAATAATTATTCTGCTGTGGTGAGGCCATATCTGGAGTACTGTGTCCAGTTTGGGCCTCTCACTATAGAAAGGATGTGGACAATTTGGAGAGAGTCCAGCGGAGGGCAGTGAAAATGGTTCAGGGGCTGGGGCATGTGACTTATGAGGTGAGGCTGAGGGAACTGGGTTTATTTAGTCTGCAGAAGAGAAGACTGAGAAGGGATTTGATAGTGGCCTTTAACTACCTGAAGCAGGGGTCCAAAGAGGATGAAGCTAAGCCATTCTCAGTGGTGGCAGATGACAGAACAAGGAGCAATGGTCTCAAATTGCAACAAGGCGGGGGTTAGGTCAGATATTAGGAAAAACTTTCTTGGTAGAAAGGTGGTGAAGCACTGGAGCAGGTTACCCAGACAGGTGGTGAAATTTCCATCGTTGGAAGTTTTTAAGGCCCAGCTTGACAAAGTCCTGCCTGGGATGATCTAGTTGGGGATGGTCCTGCTTTGAGCAGGAGGTTGGATTAGAGGACCTCCTGAGGTCCCTTCCAACTCTCACTTTCTGTGATTCTATAAACTGCTTTCTTCTCATAATTAAAATGTAGCTTTTGCACTCAGTTGCTCCAGGGACTCACATGTTTAGTATTTCACTTAATTGTTTTTTTGGACTCTTCCTCCCCAGCCTCCAAGAAATGAAGTATGATCCAGTTTTTTTGTAGTATTTCCAGCATCTGGGGAGGAATCTAGATCTCATGGACCATACAGATATCCAACAGGCATGATCAAAGCCACAGAAAAATATACACATACAAGTGCTATCAGCCACACTCATTCCTAATTGAGAATTTGGATGAATGTGGTAAGATGAAATGCTCATATGATAAGCCAATTGTATTAGACAGGGAAATTCGTTGAAACTTATTGCAAGCTGTTGGGTAGTTCAAGTCTCATATAACCCTAGAATAACAACCAAACAAAAACAAAAATTTCCTGTACCTTTGGACTATATTTAATCAGAGAGAAAGAAAAGCAAAACAATCAGGTCAATCACATGGCTTAATCAGAGTTTCTTCTTGAAACATTGGCCTTGTTTTGTCTCCTGCCTTTTTACATTCAGGATAAACTCACATTTCACTTTCTGCACATTTTTACAGATTTACCCATTATTCAACTAGCATCACACAGAATTTTAAACAGTAATATTTGTAGCAGGGAGTTGGACTTGGTAAGATTGCCAAATTTAACAGTGTGTTGAGGTAGTGGACAACTTGATGTTGCTGCTAAGGTGCCACATTTTATGGATTGATTTATTTTGGGATGGGAAACTCTGTAGCTAATGATAGGAGGGATTTCTTCCTGCTGGGGGCAGATTCTGAACTGTGTGAGAGCTTAATCATTCACATGTTCCAGTGTGTCTTGTTCCTAAACTGGGACATGTTAATTAAGTGCCTTGAACATATAGGGTGGAAACAGACATTGTTTCATTTCTCATTTGTGCCACCTTAAAAGTTTTGAAGCATCAAAAATGTGGAGCAAACAGATGTCCTTACCCTTTGTAGCACCACAATACCTGCAAATTAGTGATGCAACAACAAGTAGTAATATACTCTGCCACTTTATTGCAATGGACATCTATTACCTTGTGCTGCTTTGCCCACTCAGCCAGCTGTGTGGGGCTGGCTGGGTAAGGGAAATCCCAGTTTTCCCCACTGCTCCAGACCCACTCCATGGGTCTGGAGAAGCAGGGGAAAGTACTTCCACACTCAGCCAGCCCCATGGGGCTGGCTGCACCAGGGAACAGCCAGCATTTTCTGGCTGCCCCAGACCTGCACTGGGCAGAGGAACACCCAGCATTCCCCACTGCTTCAAATCGGGAGGTCTGGGGCAGCAGGGAACACCCACCACAACAGACTTATCAGCTGGAGGCAGCTGTGTCCGGTGTCGTTGAGGACTGCTGCCTATATAGTCTGTGGCTGAATCTCCAAATCGGCTCCAAATCTCCGAATTCGAATCAGCCAAATCAAATCAGGACGGTGATTCAAATCATTGAATCAAATCATTGTCCCTCCAAATAGGCTGAATTTGAAGTAAATAATGGCTACTTCGCATAGGCCTAGCCAGTATCATATACAGCTAAGGCTCCAGATGGAAAGACACTTTGCAGACACATTGACCAGAAGCAGGATCAAGTCTCAGACAATGCAACCTCTGTAAAATCTAGTGGAACCACTTCTGATGAGCCCATCAGTTGCTGTTTTAGACCCATTGACATTTCTTGTTGCTGAAGCTGCCTTAGAACAACCAAAGATATTTACTGCTGTTGTCTGTGAGTACAAAGTCTGTGACCCCTGAAGTGGGGGTCACCATCTGCCCCAGATTTTTACAGGATTATGTCAACTAGGGGGAGAGGTGTTGTTATATACTGAGTATCTGTATATATGTTCTGTACTCTATCAACATAGGACCCTTCTCATGCTGCATTATCTCAGGTTACTGTTTGCTTTTCCATTTTACCCATATAGTACTAGGAAGTTTTATTTGTCACTAATAAAAAAAAATGAGTCCCCTGTTCTCCTTGTGTGATCTTTCTGGGACAAGAACCCCACAGACATAATAAAATGAAGTTCATAACCTTATTGGTTCCTGAGAACCAGTGAACAAGCAAAGGATTGTATTTGTTTGTCCAATAAAACAAATACATTGCCTACCTTCTACACACATAAAACAGCAGAAGAGCCTGTGGAAGTGAAAGGAGCTGGCAAGAATGTGATTGGCTACTGTTCTCCAGCCATCCTACTGGCCACTCTGAGCGAACAGTGCTTATCCTCTTATGTACATGTCTCCATTAAGAAAGCCAGTACCTAACCCTGGTATAAGATTCCTTTGCAGCTGGCAACCACCATCATGTCCTGTTCTAAGCTTAAGTGAAAATGTGATATGTTTTCTTCCTTATTTCACACTGCAATATTGTGATATTCATTTCATGTAATGGTTTCAGTGAAAAGTTAGTAAAGCTACGTAGGTCAAGCAAAGAATGTGGCCCTAACAATCCTACTGAAGTGCATTGTGTAACTTGTAAACATTGCAAGAGAAAACAAGGCCCAAACTCTTAAAGGGAATTGTAGGGGAGGGGAGAGGGAAGTTATTAAATAGCAAATCCAGGATCACAGTCCTCCATTCAGACCTCCCACCATGTGCTGAAGCACATCCAAAACTTAAGGCCCGAGTGTTGTAGATCGGGCCCCTCTAATGATGACTGATGACTTTGAATGATGTTGCTGTGCCCAGCAAGAATGTAACTGTTCTGGCAGAGCTGTGTGAATAATGGATTTTCATTTTGGCCACCAAATGGAAAAAGAAAGAAAGAAAGAATTGTTTAAATGTTTTCGTAGACTTAAAAATTAAATGTTCATGTTGTTTGGGACTTTCAAATAGTTTCAAAAGAAAAATGATGGAACCAGCATTTTGATTTTTCCAGAAGTTTTTCCTCCCTAAACCTTTTTTCTAAATTGGACCCAAATTTGCAAACAGTTTATGTCCATTCCTCTACAAAACTATTTTTTTGGCAAATTACTAATCACTGAAAAGCCATGCCTAACTGTGGTCCTAGGCTTATGGCCCAACAGCTGATGTTGAAGACCACTTCAGTAAGACTAATCCCAGTTGTTGGATGCTCTTTTTTTTTTTTTGTCTTGATGAATAAATACAAAATTACTCAGGATTTTGATGTTATGCTTAAATCCTCTTTGCAGCAGAATAAATCGGTGTTTTGCCATTAGAACAGGATTTAGGCCCCTGTACAATAGACATCCAGTTAATCAGTCTGATTTTAGACTGTAGTAGGAATACTAGATCTAACCATACACTAACAGGCCAGCTTTTAAATCTGTAAATTGATTTAAATATCATGTTCAGGTTGGAATAAAATGTAAATGTGAAAGTTGATTTGATTGTAGATTCTGGTTGAAACTGGTTCATTATATGAAACTTGATGATATCACAAAGAAGTCAGCAGTTAGTTCCACAGTGTTCTGAGATGTATTCAAACAGTAGCTCATGACAACTCTGTAATAAGTTCTTTTGTTATGTTTTGTTTTCAGTGTAATGGCCTGAGCCACAGTAAGGAGAACTACACAGATGTTTCTTTTCTACAAATATGATAAAAATTTCAGTGTAACTGTTCAGTCTCCGCTTACCAGATTGTAGCCATTATGCAACCAAAAGGAATTTGTAGATGCACTTTATTTTGCTAGGGGAAAGCATATTAAGATTAAAATATTGCTGTTTTATAAATGTCAGGTTGTGTAACATTTATACTGTACCAAGAATAGTTACAGTGAGCTTTAGTTCATCTCACTTTTGGCTTTTTTATATTTGTTTATATTACTTATAAATAGGACAGTCTTTATATACAACCTGAATTTTACCCACACTTTGCTTCCACTACTCCAAATATGGTCTACATTTGGTTCAGTATCTCTCTACTGGCTCTGCATTGGGGATAAACAAAAGGCCTATTTCAGAAGGGGATATAAAAAGCTGATTCCTTTCAGGAGCCAGCAGTTGTTTATTTTATATATTGCCAAAGAAAATCAGTGTTTCTCTCTCATGCTGAGCCACTAGCTTGTTCTGTGGGATCCCTGCTGTTATCCTTGACCTTTCTCCCACTTCTTCTTCCTAGTTTGTTGCCCCAATAATGATGATGTTGATAGTCATACAAGTTCTGAAGTTCAGGTCTGATTCTTAGATAGTGCTTGAAAGTCATTTTATTTAGCTACACACTGTTATGCTTGCTTGCATTTTGCCATGCATGCATTTATTTATTTCCTTTTATTTCACAGATGGTCTCACAGAAGAGGATATTGTCAAGTTTACTGGCAAGGACTTAGGCATATCATGGGAATCTAGTGTTTCAAAGAAAAGGCCAATCTCTGGTAAGACTAATAATGAGGATACAGCTACATATTTTTTTCCCAATTGAGAAGAACTGTAAAAGTACCTTTTATACAAAAAAATGAAACGTCTCTTAGCAAAGTATTTCCTTGTGGCCCAAGAGACTTGTGGCAGGGGAAAGAGGTTTACACTTCAATCCCCAAATTGGTAGTGACCAAAAGTTGTTACTGCCTGGTGGCTTCTTAATTGCTGGTGTGGTTCCTGTGGTAAAACAGTCATATTATAGTTGGCACTGATTGGTGCTGTTGTTAAAACTCTCAGGAGAAACCAAACGATGATTTGAGGGGGACATACTCTAGGACTCTCCCAGTGGGAGAGCTCTGCTCCAGTTGAAGTTGTGGATAGTATAAGGATGCATAGGCTGTTCCAGCTCTATGGACAAATTCAAGACATTTGTCCCCAGTACTCTTCATTTAACAGTTTTCACAAGCCTTAAGATAAGGTGAGTTTTTAAATAAAAAAATAAAACACCCTTATATAATTGATGTAAATACTGAATCACATTGCATTTGCTCCAGTGAGGTTCTTTTGGTGAAATAGCATACATTTGGCTAATAATTTTCTAGGCACTTGTTAGAAATTGCCTGTTTGTTGTGGAAAGAAATATATATATGCGCAACATGGCTTTTCCGTTTTTTTCATAACCCACATAAGATGCTGTTTTGGCCTTCTGTTTGCTGGCTTTTAATCTGATAAAAAATTAGCATCTCTCTGAAACTGTGCATTAATTTATTTTATGCTCCTACTGATGTTTTAGAAAGCCCTGTGGGCCACCCCCCCACTTTTTGAATCATGACTGGCATACTTTAAAGCAGGCATGCAAATAAATGCCTCCTTAATGAATTATAAACTGTTCTGCGCTCATAATCCCTAGAGAGGACATTGGCACTTTATTTACCTGAGGAAAAAAGGCAAACAAGGCTGACTGCTGAGTTCTGACAGGTCAGTTTATTCAACCTAGAAAAAATGCCCTATGCAAGAATTAAACCATTACACTATACAAGCCAGTACAAGCTTGATCCCAGCAGTAAATTGAAGCCAAGGATGGCTATCAATCTCTATTACCATAAATAGGACATTAGTGTTTACTTAAGTAGATCCTGTCTGGGCTTTCCAGAGTTTGAAAGGACACATTATATGCATGATTTTTAAGGAAGAGGTACATCTGCTTTATCTCATTTTGGTACATTAGATATCTAATATTATAACATAAATAAGTTAACACCTCAAACTACAGTCATAATCAGGGATGCTGGTTTTCACTGATTTAAAAAAATCCCCAATTTTTAGTTAAAAAAATGTAACCCCAAATCCACATTTTTCCATGATTAAAATGCAGCACCTCTCTGTCTCTCTGTCTGTCTGTCTCTCTCTCTCTCTCTATATATATATGTGGATTTGGGATCCCTGATTATGACTGTAGTTTGAGGTGTTAACTTATGAATGTTATAATATTAGATATCTAATGTACCTATATATAGAGAGAGAGAGAAAGAGAGGTGTTTCATTTTAATCATATATATATATATAGAGAGAGAGAGAGAACCAGGATCCCTGGTCATAATAAACCACTGAATATGCCTGTGAGGCTAACTACCATTGTTTAATCATTTTTTTTAAATAAGAGTGTAGTGTGGGTTTTTTTCAAAATCAGTGCTCTCTATGAAGCCTTGGTACCTACCACAAAATTTATTATCAGAACTCTGAATAACTTAACCTATGCATGGCATCACTTCCAAATATTCTTTCATTAATTATTTCATTATATATAGATTCCCAAAACAAAATGTAGTCTCTCTAACCATCTAGCAACCCTGCCATTTTGCCTTTTGTAAGGTCTAAGCAAAATAAATTGGAGCAAGCCATTTGTTTTGGGGTGAATCATCACCATTTTTAGTTGTGGCCAGTGGATGCTGAATGAACAGTACCAGAAAGTACCAATGAGATGTGAACCCCAACAGTCTTCATGAACACGATTCAGCTACAGGTAGCAGGAGTGTCAGCAGTTCCAAAAATTATATCAGGTGTGACAGATTATAAATTGGATTGCTGCATCCTGTGATCTTGATTTGGGAACATTACAGAAATCCTAGAACTGCATATTATCCCATTACAAAACTGTGTGTTAATGATTGTGCAAGGCGTGTCCCTGTAGTTCATGGCATGTTCATACACTATAGTTGGCTCAAGAGCATTCCCAGATTCCATTTACCAATAATTTTCAGCCATTTTTTATCCAGTCTAACCTCTCGAACTTCTAAGTACTTACCCATAGAGACATGAGTCTTAATATTGTAGGCATTTCTAAAATAGCAAACTCTCCCCACTTTGGAGCCTAACTCTCCCCAACTCACAGTATTTATAAAATAAACCTGCCTACATTTCCTAGAATCTGAAGTACTGCATTCAACTGATATCTCATCAGCAGATAACTTAGTCTTGTTGGCACTGGCAGTATTATATAAGTTACTTTATTCAGGAACAATTTTTCATGTTACGCATAAGCAGTCTTTTTTTTAATGTAAATCTCGCATATCTCCTACTTCTTTACGGCTCTTTTTTAAACAAACATGTTTACATGTGAACTGTAAAAGAAAAATATTATTCTCTCTCTCCTCATTTATGTTTGACTTTCCCTGTTTTCTTTGCATAATATGTTACATGATACAGATGGAAAATAAGATCAGTTGAGATTCATATCTATAACATCTTTTCAAAGATTCCTCTTTGAAAAGCATGTTACCAGCATACTTGTAATGACCTTTAAAAAGTCAGTCTTCCCTTTGGAGACTGAGGTAGCCATTCCTGTTTGAAGCATGTATCTTCTTTACCCATAAGGAACAGCAACATTTTTTACAATAAGTTGTGTTAAAATCTAGCTCAGAAGCACAAGTGGCTATACTGCTCTGCCTAAAAGCAGTGTTACCATTCTGATCAATGAAATCATCTCACTATTGTATCTGAAAAAATATAGTCACTTTGAAAAATTTGGAGAAACTGAAGCAGTTGTTGGTTGTCAATCTGTTATTTAAAAAATCATTGATACAGCACCACAGATTTCCACAGCACTTTACAGAGACTAGGATAAGAATCCTACCACCAAGGATTGTTTATTCTTTGGGGTGGGATCAGGTCCTTGGATACGTTTATACAGACCTGCAGGGCCTCCTGCGGTATATTCCGACTCTCACCTGCCATGTCTTGATTAATTTCGATGTTATTAGTCGTGAGGTGTTACTGCCACAGTAGGAAATGGGCAATCTATCTAGATTCTCATCTGATCTCTCCTTTGGCTCTCTTGAACAACACCCACAATTTCTATCATCAATTGAATCCAAGTCTTATATGTGTTGAACAATTCTCTTTATTATTATTTTTCTTTTTTTTTTACGTCCACAACCAGTTCACAGACAGATGGATTGCAGCTATTTATATACTGTTTATATACTTTCAATTGTCCCCTTGGAAACCTTTTTTTGGAGAATCTCATTTTAAGTAATACACAACAATATAAAGATAATTACTGAACCATTTTTAACATGACAGGAAATTTTACTTTCAGTGTCTTTCTTCTTTGATGAGATCTTGTCTCTCTACGCCCTTCAGGACACTCCCATTTCTTTCTGTAATGGTGGGGAAGTAGCCATGACTCAGGCTCTCTCTTCCTCTCAAACACTCCTGGAGCACAGTTAGTCTCTATCAATGTCAGACCAAAAGAAAAAAATATAAACTCAGTTTTTGTTGCACCTGAGGAGCATCTGCAGCTCCTCTCTTCTTGTGGTTTCTCCCCAATGTTCTTCTCTTCCTTGGAGCGATCCGAGAGTCAGCTTACATCTCCAGGAACTCCTGACTTACTCCTTTGGTCATGCCCCCTTCGGCACACAGGACCAGCTCCTGGGATTCTCCCATCCCAGTAGTCTTCTACAGTTCTCTCCCTTGGTGCCTTCTTTTGCTGTTCTCCCTTCCAGCACGCCTCGCTGTCCCACACTGGGCTTTTCAATTCTCAAGGAACAGCTGCTCCAGAAATGGCATTCTCCCCACTCAGTCTCTTACCATGTTTGAAGTATTTGGTTTTTAGCCAGGCCCTCTTCACAAGACACAATCTTGATTGAACCCTTAGACACTACAGAAGTAATACATTGGTTGCGTCTTCAGTCTAGTAGCTTCTAAAATGAGTCATTGGCCTTGGTTCTGCCTCTACTGGACGTGTCTACATTACAAACTGTCATGATAATTGACATGTTTATTGGGTATTTCAGTGGAGAAACCAAGGATAGAATAAAGATGGGATAACTCTTGTACCTGATAACTACTATAGGCATGTCCTTCGGATCAGGATTCAGATACACTTGGTATTTCTGGATGAACATAGAAGTCATAGAATCAGAGGGTCAGAAGGGATTTCCAGGATTATCTAGTTCACCTCTCGCCCTGAATAAATACAAGACCTGCTCTTCAGATTTGTATGTAGGCCAGCATAACCCTGAACATAATTCCCTCTTTGTCACACTGTTTGTTTTGAGTGTCCTACTTTCATCAGTAGCTGCACTTCAAGGGAATGAAAAAATAAAACATCCAAGACCTGGGCCCTGAACACTTAACTTACACTATTCCAGATAGAATTGGGAGGTATTTTTCCTTTGGAAGGAAAACTTTCCTCTCTGGCACTGAAAATGTTCTCTTTGAGAAAAATAAAAAACTGTACTAATTGCAAAGAGCAAGTGACACTCTGTAGTATGTGTGCAGCTTGCCAATGAAAGGAACGGGTTGTGTTGTCCCTCTTTGTTTTTAATATAGGCTTTGGTTAATGCTTGAAGGCACACATGTTTCCTGGAGATAATGTAAGGCTCAAAATGAAATTCCTTTCACCTGCTCCCTTGTTTGCTTTTGCTATTCATAATGGTGAATTGAATATAATGAAATAGTGCTTGAGAAGTCAAAATGGAGCTGTTAGGTCTGTGCTTCTCACTCGTTATATTGGTTTGTGGTTAAAAACATTAACAATGATGTCTTGTTAATATTGTTCAGAAATGTTGCCACCTGATCCTCAGCATCCTCCTCTTGCTCCTGCCAAACCCACGCAAGTGCGAAGAAAACCATTGCCTCCAAGCACTGTGACTGGTAAACCAGGGAGTCCAGGTACAGCAGCCTTTTCATTGTGACCTGTAATGCTTTGAAATCAGTGAGGTATTGAATAGCTTCAACTGCTATAGATGCACATGAGAGGTAAGGACACCCAGGATTTTGTGAGACCAGATCCTTTTCTTTATTAGTAATAGCAAGTGCTGCAAGCTCTAACTCAGATACCCTGGGGAGCCCATTGTGTACCCATAGAATGTGTCCAGCAGACTACAGGCTATTTTTACCTGTATCTGAACTAACCTCCTGAAGTGTGCAAGTCTTTTTGCCCGTTTGCATAAGTCTACTTTCTGTTCTCATCAGGTTGGAGTATAATTAGTCTCACTGGCACAAAATATAAGGGAATGATACAGGGAATACTGTTTCCTTTAGAAAGAGTTACTGTAGGTCATTTCCTGACCAACAGTATCATTTTCAGTCACTACGTATGAATCTTATACTTCAGGATATATGTGCAACTAATCACCTGTAAGGAAATTTTCTCCCCTATATGCCACAATTCACCTTCCCCTTAAACAGTAAGACGAAATTTTCATCTGAGAGTTTTTAAGTTAATTATAAATCTACCATATAAAATGTATGGAAAAATGTGTGGCCAAGTTCCCTCCTCTGCTTTAAAAATACAGCTCAGTTATTTACCAATGCTAGAAGCAAGAAATAAGATCTAAAGGGCCAACAATCCAATACTCTTAGTAACATGGAAAAGGCAGACAAAGTATGAAAAAAAGCTGTGGACTCTTTGTAGATGCTTCATGATTTATTATTCATTAAAAACACTAGTACTATATGTTATTAAATTAGCTTGTATCCAATAACCATATTGCACATTCAGTAGGCATGTCTACATGTGTATTTACATGCACCTAAACTTAATGCACCTTTGCTTATGGTGCATTAAGGTGATTTAGGCACATGTCTACAAGTGGATGCATTAAAGCGCATTAAATTTAGGCACAAATAGCTAAGTTGCATTAGTACACGTGCAGAAGTGCTAATGTGCATTAACGTAGTGTCTATCCATTGATGCACACTGCATTAATGTGCATTAGCATAGTTACAGATGTGCTAATACGACTTATCTATTCATGCCTAAATTTGATACGTGCTCTATGCAGGTATCAAATTTAGGCTCACATAGCTTTAAATGCCATTTTAAGGTGCATTAAGTGCATGCATGTGTAGAAATGAGCCTTTAATGCACCTTAAAAATGGCGATTTTAGGCTAAGCCTGCTTAAAAGAGGCACAAGTAGACGCACCCAGTAATTCCAATAAATCAAACTGCAAATTGCTTCTTTTCCATGAAATGAAATGGAATGGAATGCAAACTTAAACCATAAATATTCACTTTTTCCAAAAGCATAATTTTATTTGAGTAAAACTCATTCCTGCAGATGATGTTGGACGTAGTTCTGCGTTTCGGAACTTACTATAAAGAACCTTACAAAACCGTGTTAACTGAAAATCTGGGTGATGATTGTAAGAGATGAGTGATTTACAAATAAAACACAGAAATCAAGAATACCTTACACTCTGTCACTGCTGTTCAGAGAATAAGATACTTTAATATGTGCCTGTTACATCTGTGATGTATATAAAAACTCATGAGTGAAAGGCTTTTAAGAGTGACTAGAGCCAGTGACTGAAGCCAAGTCAGGGGTCGGCAATATTTTCTGACAGCAGGCAAGAATGGCCCAGCTTGGGCCAGTGCTAGAACCTTGCCACCATCTCTTCTTCCTGCCACTGTTTCTCTCCATCACCGAGCTATGGTGTAGCATAGGTAAAACACCTGACTGCGTGCCCACACAGCAGTACAGGCAGAGCCTCTCGCTGCTGAACACCACCAAAGCCTCTGCTCCACAGGCCAGATCCTATGGCCACAGAGGCTAAATCCAACCTGTAGGCCATAGGTTGCCAACCCCTGGTGATGCAATATGATGTTCCTCAATTAGGTCTTCTAATTTACCTCTTTCTTGCCCATGCTGCTAAATGTAGGCGAAAGGCCATCCCTTGTTTGGAGTTTTAGGATAGGAATAAATGTTCAAGGAAGAAATCCACTTTTTTGAATATACAAGCCTGATCTAGCCCAAGTCTCCAGTTCTGAAATGTTGGTGCTATATCCTGCATCATTCATTCCTCATCTTGTTATCTATATACACAGGTGCATGGATGACAAATGCGCACTGTGATTTAGGTCCCTTTTCCCCCTCATTGACATTGTATTAAATTCAAGTCTGAGTTAAGTGCATTAAGATGTTTCTAATTTATATCATAACTGGAACAACTGTGTTCAGTTTCCTTCCTAGTGTGATTTCACTGATGGATTTGTACCAAGGATGAATGTGCCCACACTCTGCTCTTTGTTATTCTAATATAAATGCAGAGTGGCTTCTTTGATGGATATATTCGCGCTGATGTAAGGGAGAACAGAATCTTTCACGTGGTCCATTTCATTCCATTTGGTCTTGTGACTAACATTTGCATCAATTTTCCTTATGCTCTTTTGTCTGTAGGTTAGAATCTATGGCTTGAATTGATTCAGATAACCATATACATGAGTAGGGAAGAGTGCTTCAGTCACTACAGGCTGTTACTTGCTCCTCTGCAGCCAGTACACAGGAGCTGGAGGCCAAGTCACTGCCTTCTCTCCCTATTCCCTTTTTGTTTTGGCATCTTTGGGGTGTTGTGTGCTCCCAGCCCATATGGGCCAGTCGTTCCTGCATTCCAACTGCAGCTCTCCTATGCCCCTGCTTACCTTCCCACAGTAAGATCATTTTGCCCTAATGGGATATATCCTTTATGCTAGCTGCAGCAGGCAGAGGATAGATATTTCTGTATGCTATGCAGCAGGTCACAAACAAATTGGAGTGCTGACCATAGATGCTATACATCTAATTAGCCTGTGGACAGGATTAAAAAAACAAAACTCCATTGTGCCCCATACTCACTGTAGGTTCATGGTATTTCCTTAATAATAGGTTTATCAGATTCACAAGATGCAATTCTTCTGCCATGCCATAGAACATATTGAAGGTTGATGCAGTATATTTTCTTTTGCTTTTAATAAGAATCTATGCTACGTTTCTCCATTAGGTCCTTAATCCATCTTCAAGTGTTTCATATTTTCATCTTCCTTTTTTCCGTGAGCTGTGAGACAGTTTATGCATTAGCCAGCAGCATCCTAGACATTAAAGATGGAATAAAGATGTTAGATCATTGGGACCACTGCAGGATTTTCCTCTATTGTACGTTTCCTAATGTTTTGTCCAATTTCCTTCTAAATTTCCCAAATGATGAAGCTTCCTCTGGTTCCCTGGAGAGACTAGTCCATCAATATATTTGCCTCGTGGTGTTCTGCCTGGTTTTTCCCTTCTATATTTTCATCCCATTACTCTAATTCATACCATGACTACTAATTATTTGTTTGTGCCTTTTTTGTACAAGATGAGTATTATAGGGCGGGTTATTATGGCCACAGCCATTCAAAGTAAAATCTCCTGATAGAAAGAAAGATTTCCATAAGCCTCCCAAAATGTGATGGCAAGGATAAGAGCTTTAACAGAATATTCCTTGTCAGCTTGACAGTTAAGTGGCCAAAGCACTGCCTGTTCAGAAGCTCTATTCAAGCTATATTCTTGTTTGTCAAATCTGTGGAGAGTTTGGCTAGATGCAAGATCAGTGGCTATATAGTACCTGTTAGAAAATATCTGCCATTTCTTAAATGTAATTTTGAACTTCCACATGCCTCAAGATAGATATTGCTTAACATAAAAGGCATTCCAACCCAGAGTGAAATTACCTTATACATTGTGCTACAGGTGACTTAAAAAAACCAGGCTGTTGTTTCGCTCGAATGCTTTTAAAGCTGTCCCATGGAAACTTTGTAATAGAGTTCCATTGTTCAGCAACATAATTTCTGTAATTAAGCACAGCCCTTGCTGGCTGTTCCTCTCTCTCCAAAGTCTTTGCTCATCATGTGAGCTTGGTAATCTGCCTACCCTCTTAGGGATACAAATTAAAGGTCCTTAAAAGCAGGATTCAAGTTCAGAAGTCCAAGTTTCTGTTATTGAATTTAGTATTCCCATTGTAAGTCTTGTGATAGGAAGACTTTTAGAGAAATAGAAAGGTTTCATTACATCATTTTGTCACTTTACCAGTTTGTATAGGATTATTCTCTGCAATATATTCAATAAAATATATTCTTCTTTATCTGATCATAGCCCTCAACAGTCAATCTGAGTTGTTTAGCATTTTCTTTGGATGTATGAGATGTAGAATATTTATTGTCTCAGTAGCCATCATGGTAAGTCAAAGGTTTCTCAAGTCCAACTGTAATAATGCCATACCTGTGACTCAGAAATGGAAGCAAGTGCTTCCCTCTAGAATTCAGGACCCCTTTTATCTGATTAAACCATCAGCAAACTATGGGTGAATAACTGCATTTTTTTTCAAATAGTAAATGTCTTGGTGCCACAAGTTCCTCCTTCTCCCATGACCACTATGACCCGATATGCAAAACCAACTAATTCTGTGAAGACAGGAGCACCCAGAAAATCTCCAACAGCTTCTGCTACTCCAGAAGATTTTGGTGAGCATATTGCTACAGCTTTTTTTTGGTCCTTGTTTGTGTTTTACATCCATTTAAAAAAAACACTATATTTAATTTTGTTCAGTTCAGGTACTGTTCTTATCAGGCACTTCGATTTTGATGCTGCATTTATTTCCCACATATTGCTGTTTATTTAATCTGTTTAATTTATGAGGTACTCTCAAAGGGGCTTTGTGTCTCATTTCTGATATCACTTACTACTTACATAACTGTTACAACTCCATTGGATTCAACTGATTCACTCCTGCTTTGCAGTTATATAAGTGAGATCAGAATAATGCCCTTTGTCTTTCTGGACGTCTGCAAATGTCTAACACATTTGCTGCTATTGAATGACTACTGTAATTGTGTTGACAACCCAAGATATACTCTCTTTTTGAACATCCTGTATCGTATAATGCCACACATTCAAGTCACTCCTACTCCACAGTAACCCACATGGTGGTATTGTTGTATGTATCAACCAGTGGTTGCAGCTATGTGAGATGTTTACTGCGGAGCTGTCTAATTAGCATCGCAGTAAAGTCTCAGTGTCTACATGTGCAGTGCTATTAGACCACAAGAAACTAATTAACTCCACCATAGGTTAGTACTTGTAAACACAAGTACTATCCTATCACGGCGTTATTTAGTGCGCAGCAATAAACATATAGACACTGACAGGGCTGGCTGGGGCATGAGGGTACTTCAGTGTGGAAACTGCCTGCTGGCTAGCCCTGCACTGAAGCACCCCCGTGCCTCAGCCAGCCCCTGCACAGCACATTGAGCCAGGTCAGAATAGCCCTGACCTAGTGCATGTAAATGTGATGCCCAGGAGCAATAAACTCCGGCACAACATGTGCCGGAGTTTATTGCATTACATTAATTTCATGAGTATATGCGCCCTGTTATAACAGTAGCCCTATGCCCTTGGGATATAAAAAATATGAAGTGTCTCCAAGCAAATAGGTCTGGATTTTAAACTCTCCCAAAGTTTGGGAACGTTTTGTTTGGTTCATTCAAGAGAAAGGTGGAACCTAAAAATTTGAAACTGAAGCCAGATTCTGAATGTTGTTGCAGTTCAGATGTGTCATAGGATTTTGCATTTAGTCTCCCTTGGGTATATCTGCATTAATGCATATTAGCCTATTTTAATGGACATTAAAGCATTACTAAAAAGCCATGGGTGCCTGTAGGTGAGTGCAGAGACTGCTCCGACACATTGTAATTACAACAATTAATTGAGTCTGCTGAAGCAAGATAATTACCATACTTCAGCAGTTTCCTGCGTCTCATGTATCAGCATCCCTATGCTTATAAATGGTGATGGGGTGCTTGAACTAAAATTCATTCGACAAGCTTTAGTTCAAATGTTCCTGCTGCCATTTTTAAGCACAGGAACTCTGATTATGAGATGCTGAGGCACTTTAATTACAGCAGCTCTCAGAGCCACTCAAAGTGTAATTAAATACAATTAAAGTCCCTCTACCCTCAGAGCACCTGTAAAAGTGCCCAAAGCTATTTAGTTAATGTGTATTAAAACAGGCTAATGCACATTAAGTGTCAGTTAACCGCAGAGCTGTACCTAAGGGTGTGCAGGGCCTGCGACATATCAGCCCGGGGCGGGGGGGGGGTAGCAAGCAGGGGGAACACAGCAGTGGGGGAGCGACCAGAGTAATGGGGGATGAGCAGAGTCAGGGGCAGGTGGTGAGCAGTGTGCACCAGCCATGGCAGGGCCTGTACAGCACTGTCTGCAGGGCCCACCAAAGCACAGGGCCTGGGGCAGTCGCCCCGATTCACTCCTGCTAGGTATGGCCCTGCTTAACTGTGCTCTTTAGTTAATGTGCATTAAAATAGGCTAATGTGCATTTTCCTAGTACCGCACAATGGTGGTACTAGATTTAATGTGCACTAACTAAAGCACATTAATACATGTATAGACACACCCCTTTTGGTCTAAGTTCAGACCTAGCATATGTGGGCATAATGGCATTGGAATAAATTATTTTTGTCTTATTTCAGAAAACCACAAAGGTACCTGCCTATTTATAGTAATATTGACTTGTCTTTGAACCAGTCTGCTGCCCAAAGCAAGCTGAATGCTATATTTGTATGCATGCATGCTGTTAATTTAGAATATTTTTGGTCTATCAGACAAAAGGCAAGAATTTCTTAGAGCAATATCTTTTATTGGATCAAGTGTGTAGTAGAGTTAGTAAACTGTTTAGTATACTATTGCCTGGCTCATTCTGGTCAGAACTGATGAAGAATGCCCTGTAGTTGAAAGGTTGTCTAACTCCAAATACACAGTTGGTCCAATAAAAGATATCACCCTACCAAATCCGTCTCTCTCACATGATTTCTGGATCATTATGGCTACAACATTACTCTTGCACTACCTGTCCATCATGGTCTTCTCTCAAAAGCAAAGATAATTTTCAGGGGTATTGCTTCATATGGATGGAAGATCAAAGCTTGTGTTGACTACTTTCAAACTCGTAATTTCTGCTCCTGTCCCCATGTATGGATTCCCCCCCACCTCCCATAATCCTGACATGGTACATGATGTAAATGGCTAATTACCTTTGGTGTGAAGGACATTAAAAAATTCTGAAAATAGGTGTCTAAAACCAGCTTCATTTTGTCAGGGATGGGGAGGATTACTTTAGGGCTTTGAACTCATAAAGGTTTCTCTTAAGCATTTGTTCAAACCTCTTCAGATTTATCAAGTGAACTGTGCCCTTGGATAATTTCCTGTTGTAGTTGCCAGAGATTTTGGGACAGGAGTAAGATTTGCATTCAAGTGCAGAATTTGACCTATTTTGTTCACTGTAATTAATATTACTATGAGATTAACTCATGGGTTCTACTTCTGCTTTTGCATATGCTTCCATTGGTTCCCAGCATATTTGCATGCAGCTTCCCTATGTATTAGTGGGAGTGGCATGATGCAAAGACAGAATTTAGTCTGTTTGCCACTCTTATTGTGGAAGTTAAAGTGAGCCAATAAACAGTTCACTGTCCTCTCAGAACGTGAGCCAGATCACGTGTTAAAGCGGCGGAGAGTCAATGCAATGCAAAAAGATGCTTTTTAAGTCTTCTAAAGATGCCTTTGGATATTATACATGAATTGAATCCAACAGCAATAATGAGCTCACTTATTTAGGTTATGCCTTCTTTGTTTTGGCAGAGGAAAGAGGCTTTTATTTTCCATCACAGCCAAAATTTGGGTCAGTCTTAGGAGAAAACAAAAAGGATAGCAAGTACACATCAAGGAGAAGGTGTAGGAGGCTGATCTAGAATGCCAGATGAAATATGAGATGGTGGTTTAATATTGCAACTTCATGCTTTTCTAAAAATTTTGTTGTGACCATCTCTTCCCCAGTTGGTGCAACTGTCTTCAGCTCAAGCCCTACATCAGAGACGGATTCATTGGGCAAACCTCGATACACAGGTATGACTGTAATAGCTATGTTTGCTAAAATATAACATGACAACTTGATATGTTTAGTTCAAGTTCCAAACTTTAAATGATTTTTTAAAAAAATGTCCAGCTACACCTTGGCAGCAGATTAAAGGTCTTTAATACAGACCTTCAAATGAGTCTTGAGTGCATTTTGTCTTATTTTCCCTCCATTTCTTTCTCCACCAGCCATCAGCCAGTTTCCAAACCAGGGGAAGGGAGGCATTTCCACCACAAATCATTTCACTGTTGGCCCTCAGTTCATTCCAGCAACGGTGCTATTGCGTGGTGTTCATATTCCACTGAGTCACAGTAGGATTCCTAATTGACCTTGCAAGCCTTCCCATACAGACTTTAATCCCATTACCAATGTTCCCCAATACAAGCTTCACCATATGGACTACTCATTCTATCATGCATCACAAAGCAAGCTTATTCCTACAGATAAGCTCCTCAACTACCAGTGTCCCTCAAGAGACAGCATATGTCAGCACAGGAGGTAGCCTGAGAAAGAGAATATATTATTAATCACTATAGTAACTGTCTTTCAAACTCCCTTGCAATTGCTTTTCAAATGGACATGTAACAGCACGTTCTAGAAATAAATCTGAAACATGGACATGGAGAGTTATAAAAATAGCTGCCTGCAGCAGGATGGGCCCCAAGGGCGGCTGTGATACTCTCTACTGGCCTCCTTCATCCTGCCCTGCTCATCCACTCTGGCCTTTCAGGGTTTCACTCTGCTGCCTTTCCTTCCACACCGGGATGGTAAAAATAAAGAGGGGAGCCTGCCCTCAGAGGCTAATGAGATCTGGGTGTTCTTCCTAATTTTGCTTCTCCTTGGGTTTGACTTAGCCCACTCAGTTCTGGGCTCTGACCCTGCTTCACTGTCTTTCCTCAGTCTCTGAGGCTCCAACCCTGCTGCCCCAATTGCCTTAAGGGCTAGAATTGTGGCCTCCTGCTGCCCCCATGTCTCACAGGTGTTACTCTGGATCAATTAGAAAAGACCCCCTGGCCCCATGCTGCATTTGGCCCTGATGCTGCACACTTTTGTCTGGGCCTCAGTCTTCCCAGCCTTGACCCTTTACTTCAGTTGTGCCCCTCAACCTAGGTCTACTGCCCCAGACCTTGGCTCCTGTGTCCTACCCCTGTCTCATTGTCCAGCCCCCTGCCCCAAGCAAAGCTGCTGTTGCTCACTCTTGCAGCCCCCTGGGGTCCCTGACCCTTACAGGGTTTTAGGCTGGGTGCCCTCAGGCACCCCTGTGGCTTCCATAACACCCCAATAACCACAACCTGGTCCTCTGGTCCTATGCCAGCTAGTGTTTGCACATAAACGTCTCCTTGAGTCCCAGCAAACTTTTACCCAGTGGCCAATGGCTCCTTGTATCTTCCCTAGGTGCTGGTGTTGCCTGGGTTTCTTCCCTCTTGCAGCCCAAGCTAGCAGAAGTTCTCGTCTCAGTAGGACTTAGGGCCAGACTAAGTTCTTTAGTCAAGAGTCCATGCTTTTAGTAGGCGAGGGCTCCACCCCTTTTGATCACATGGCCTTCTCCTTGCCCAGGGGTTTCTAATCAGCCTAGTACTCAGCCTGCCCCCAGGTGCTACAGCTTAAACTACCAAGCTGTCACCCCTGCCCTCTCCCCTGGCTTCCCTTTAACTCAGCCTAGTTTTCCCTGGCTGCTTGTTGCTCTGCAGCTGGCTCTTGCTCAGCTGCATACCTAACTGCAGCCCTCCAATCCTGGCTTCCAATCCCTCAAGTAGCAGGAGTCAAGGGTCCCTGCTACACTGCCATATCCACATCTGAAGAATTTATCCTCCCAGACTAACTCCTCTTCTTTCTTGCCTATGCCCAGACTACTATAAACGCAGGCATTATAGTAATGGTGGAATATATAGAAGGCATGGCAGGTGGCTAAACTAACTTTCTAGGGCCACCCTGCCCTGATTTCTGCCTATCTTCAGACTAACGCAGCTAAATCTCTCTCTCTCTAGAATATATAGAGAATAGATATATCAGTAGAAACCTAATACATTTTTTCATTTCAAAGCTAATGCACTCTCATCTTCAGGTATCATTTTACTACATTACTTAAGATTTAAGGAATGATTTCAAAGCTGTCAGCTGTGTTTCTGGAACAAAGCAACAAGTCTCCTGGTTTGCCAGACACTGCAGCTACTGATCCTCTCAGTAAAACCAAGACACCAGCATGATGAGCCACAGTTATTAGCCAGTGGCTTCTAATGGAGTTTGCTGTACTTTCCATATTGGAGCTTATAGCTCCTAAAGCTTTCAGTGCTTTCCTTTAAAAAAAAAAAAGGGGTGGGGGGGGGTGTAAATTACTGCAGTGAGGCAGGATGTATAAAAGGGGGTTCAACTTTGCTTTTTTGAGACCAGGATCAGGCCTCCATTCTGCCAGTCATTGTAAGAACAGATAAAACCTTCTGCCATTTGTGACAGGAGCTCAGAAGATTTTGCAGTGTCCCTCACACCAGGATTCCAGTGGGATGCTATCCCAATGGCATCAAGTGCCCAGGACTGTGACCACCATTGCAAAACAGGATGCATGAAGGCTCTGGCGTTGGGATATTGGACTGGCCATTATTCTGTTCAGTGGCATTAGACTGCAGGGGCAGGCAATTATTTCAGGTGGAGGGCTGCTTACTGAGTTTTGGCAAGCCATCAAAGGCCTCATGACAGGCAGTCAGGGGAAGATAAATATTAATTTTCTAAAATTTTTATGGGCCCTGTGGGCTGGATAAAATGGCTTGGTTGGCCGCATCTGGCCCATGGGCTAAATTTTGCCCACCCCTGCATTAAAGAAAAATTTTAAAATGTGCGGCAAGCATTGAGTTAAATTTTTTGCACCAAGCACAGTGTGTAAATTAGGTACAAAGGTGACTAGACATTGAAAGTTGCATCTTGCTTCTTTTCTTCAGCATTTGTGTTAGATTTTGAATATGATTTTCATGGATGATTTCCTCTTTTGTGCTCTTAACTAAAAGTTGTGGAGTTTTTAAGCATAAGCTAGTTCTGTTACATTACTCAGTACTTGAATGAAGTAACGCTTTTCTCTTAGCCCCTCACGTCAAGTATATGAAAAAAGAGGAAGATGTGCCATGTTCCATCACAAGTTCACTTGAATATTTCCCACAAGAGGAAGGTGGCAGCAAGGAAGAACCTGCTCATCCTCCACAAAATCCTCCTACTAACCTCACTGTGGTGACTGTTGAAGGCTGCCCTTCCTTTGTTATCTTGGACTGGGAAAAACCAGACAACGACACAGTTACCGGTCAGTTTACCATCATCTGTGTTCTACTTCATCTATATGTAATTGATTTTACTTTAAATGGTGATGGCTGTCTTATGGTGATAGCTGTGTGTGTGAGAGAAAGTTAGAATGACTCAAGCCCAAACGTGAACCAAAAGTGGGACATGTGGGTCCCTGCCTAAATGATTATTTAAGTAATTTCTACAAAGTAGAACAGCTTCAGCTCATGCTACTGGGACCAAACCACCCCAGAACAGCATAGAGTCTGGTGGTTAAGGTCCTCACCTGGGAGGTAGATTGAATTATTTCATATCTTTCTTTGACCCAGGTGAAACTGCCTTTGCTTGAATTGAAAAAGCCTCAGATCAGAGCATGTGTATATAAGTGTGCATGTGTGTGTGTGTGTGTGTGTGTGTGTGTGTGTGTGTGTTATATATATACACCAACTTTTGGGGGGAATATTTGGAAAATAGTCTTTTTCTCTCTTTCTCTCTAAATCTATCTATCTATCTATCTATCTATCTCTCTATTATAGACAGACAGACAGATCGATATAGTGTGTGTCTGCAGGTCACCCTGGGTGGTGTGACCCTACGTTGCCATACAGTGTGCTATGGCGACATAGCTATCATGTGGATCTACTTGTGATCCATTGTCGTAGCAGCACACTCCCTGGTATAGCATGCTGCTATGGCAATGTAGTGGCAAAATCTGTCTGTGCCACACACACGGTGCAGTAACTGCCTGTACTGTGCTGCACTTTAGTACTTCTGAAAGTACTTCTATAGATATAGAGTATCTCTATAGCTATAGAGATAAAGCTATAGATATAGAGATATAGATGTATTTCTATATATCTATAGATAGATAGAACTTACTATTACTAATATATATTACTATTTTCCATATATTCTCAAAAAATGTTTTTTGGATTGTTCCAGAATTCCTTGACATTAATGTCTGTCAGAGAGTCAATGACTTTGGCTCTTCTTAGGTCAATATCATATTAGATACTTTCAAATCTATAGACAGTTATTTTCATTTTTCCCCCTACAAGTATGTTTAATGCCAGGTACTAAAATTCTGGGACCTGGGTACATTTCTGTCTGGCAGCTAGTTTTGTCCCCCTTACACTCTTCACTTCAAAACATCTTTGCTTATTTACTTAGTGTGAATCAGCCAACACACTTTCTGTATGGGGAAGAAGTCACTGCCTTCCAGTGTCTAAAAACCACACCGTATTACTTCATACTGGCACCAGTCTGATATTAATTATTAGTTTGAACCAATGGTTCTCAATCTTTTTTGACTCAAGGCACTTCTTGGAAAATTCCAGCTCTTAGCTTTTATTTGTTTTTTGACTATGGAAAAAAGAATAAAGCAGTTCTGTTGCAAAGACCTCAAAGACCACAACAGGTCAGAGGTTTTTGACAGTGTAAATTCCTATTTGAAATCTCTGGGTTTCTCTTGTGAATCATGTTATAGGTGTTGGCACACCTAACAGTGCTAATATTGTGTGGCACCCTGGGGCACCTGAAAAAAAAAAGATCTCTAGTTGAGAATTACTGGTTTGGACACACTTAAGTCTTCAGTAATCTTTTGGGGTTTGGTGTGGGAGTTGGACTTTTTCCAATCTGTATGCTTCTGATTTACGTATACAGTGGTTTTATCCAGAAATTCTGGGAGTGCCTTAGAAACAAATAGCATAATCCCTCTTTTTGAGATTGCTTGTTTGCTAATATGATCCCTGAGAGCTTTTGAAATATCAGGTATTCCTAAACAAAATTCCAGTTCATTAATGGAAAAGTCTGACAAGCAATAACCAAAACAGGGCTCACACACCTCCCAGGTTCCATGAAAGCTGTGAACAGCATCTATGAACCCCTTTGCTGCTGGTGTTCATGTACCACTTCTGCATTGCAGCAGAAATGTGTGGGCTGTTGGTTTGATAGCTTAGCAGCATAGCTGATACTCAGAACTTGCCTATGTGAGATTTTTCCCAGATATCATCTTAAAAGTTACTAAGGTTCTAAAATATTTAAAAGTCAGATGTTTTTCAACATTGTTAACTGCAAGGTTCAGTGAATATTTGAGTTTAGTCCTAGTGAAAAGTACCAGAATCATAGTCCTGGAAACAGAAATCCTGTGCTAACCCTTTGCCTGGACACTGTGTAGGTAAAGGGTGCTCGACCTATACCTGCAGCATGAGCATGGCACTCTACCTGGGACCCACCATTCAGACCAACAAGAACTACCTTGATATTTTCTCCCTGCAGCTTATTCTATCCTTGGTCTTTCTGTATGGGAGACTCTCAGACATAGTGTCAGGTAGAATGATGATCTCTGGGTGATGCCAGTATCTACCTTCAAAAGGAACTGAACTAACACACTGGATTTGTTGTGCATCATGAATATTAATGAGCATCCAAAGGTGAGCACCTTGGATCACCATGTAACCTGGATCATATTGAAGCGACTAATCTAGAAATAAGCAGCTTGATTTCCCATTGTCATACCCATGAGCTATCCATTTGCATCAGGTCCGTAGATTTTTTTCCCGCTGTAAAGTTTAGTGTGGTCTGCCTTTGCTTTTCACAGATTATCCTCTTGAGAAACCTTCCTGACACAAACATTCTGAACATTCACATCTAAAAATGAACAGTACTTCCCTTTTTCATGTCACCTTTCTTTAGCATATATTTTGATCCTATTTTAAGGTTCGATGCTGTGTAATAAAAATGGCAGTCACTAGGCATTACATCAAAAATCACCCTGCTCTGGCGTGAACACTGGGGTGGATATCTGGAAGCCCAGAGGTGGAGAGTTGGAGGCCATAGCAGAAGCACTCGTGGCACGGCCTGGTCAGATTCCAATGAATTCTGCTAAATACCTTGTTACAAGGACACAAGAAAGGAAAGGATGCCAAAAATTCAAGTAATGGCTCTTCTTGGAGCTATTAGGGTAAATGAGGTTGAAAATCCACCTCAATATGGTTTATATGATGGCACTGGTTGAGCTGTTTTCATTCTAAAAACGTGTAATTTATAGGAATATTCCTTATAGACCTATTCTGCTACTTGCTCTTAGTAGCACTTGGTTAGTTAAACTGACTTCCCCAGCTCCTGCTTGTCTGAGCAGGGGGCACAAAATCGGGCCCTGTCCATTTTATCAGCTAATACATAATTCTGTATACATTAATGTTATAGATGTGGTTAAATTTTATAGATGGTTTATGTTTTATTGGCACTTTGGCAGTAAGGATAATTATAAAGTCACTAATAAATGTGTTGTGATAGTTTTATTCCTTCCAACATTGAATTCCATTGCTGGTGATATTTTATCTTCTAGTCAAGACAATGAACTGGTCTTGAGAACTAATGAAAGTGAAAATATTTAAGATGCCAGTTGTCTAAATAAAAAAATGGAAAAGCAGTAGCAGGAAAAGAGAAAATACGGGAAAAGTAGTATGCCAAATTTTGAAAATTATAGATGGATTGATGGATTTATTTTAATTATAAATACCTTCTCCATCATCCTCATTTCTTGCAATCCCAGATGCCCATTTTAAAATGTATTTTATCACCAGTCAGGCTACTTTCACCTTTTCCAGACAGTTATCAACACTATTACAGTAGCCTGAAAATTATTAAGCTCAATTGAGCTGTAAATTCAGACAGACCTTGAACTTTACTTTAAAACTGGGACATCAATGCCTTTGAATTTTCCCAGCTCACAGGATTGTATTCCCTTAGCAGTCTTTGCTCAAAATCCTCAGGGAGGGACATAAGCTTCTGATTAAAAGGAAGCTGTCATGTCCAGGCCTACTCTGGAAAGTGGAGGCCCTAGAAACACATGGTTGGAGCAGTTGAGGAATATACTGGAGCCTCTCTGAAGCTTCGTCTGTCCAAATAAACTTGGTCATTTAGAAGCCCCTTATGAGAGAGAATATCAGTTCCTATCTATAGATATAGTTCCTGGAGGAAGAAAAAAGAACAAGTAATGTATTCAGAAGTATCATGTTAGCAGAGGTCATCAAAAATAGTGTGCAGAGGTTGTCTGTTAAGGAGGAACAGCGGAGCTCTGGATTGTGCTTCACCAGAGTTGTGGTACAGAAAGGATATCACTGTGATACAGAAAATAAGGTATTATTTTTCCCTCCAGCGATCTGAAGGTATCGCCTCAACCTAATAGTAAACAGCAGCGGAGCATTAGCAAGGAACATTGCACTAGCATTGTTGGAAAGAAGGCTGCCATAGCTTTCTGTTGGATGGTATGGTGAGTTGCCATCCAAATGAGAATGTTGACATATATTTTTCCCCTCAACCACTGGTTTTACTATTGCTACAGCTTCAACCCAAACATGGACTGTATCAGACACAGGCTGACCTATACCCAAGAGTGCCAGTTTCAACAAACACTGGGTATTTAAGTAATTCCTTGACTGGAAATTCCATTTTCCAATTTCCAATTGCAATTTCCATTCCACAGCTGTCAGCTGTGTTTCTGGAACAAAGCAACAAGTCTCCTGGTTTGCCAGACACTGCAGCTACTGATCCTCTCAGCAAAACCAAGACACCAGCACGATGAGCCACAGTTATTAGCCAGTGGCTTCTAAAGGAGTTTGCTGTACTTTCCATATTGGAGCTTATAGCTCCTAAAGCTTTCAGTGCTTTCCTTAAAAAAAAAAAAAAGCGGGGGGGGGGGGGGGGGGAGGAACTGTTAAGATCCACAACAAATTCCAAGTTTAGTAATCCCACCACTTTGTAACACGTCTCCCCTCCACCTTCCCAACCATGCATTTGGAAGATAGATAAAAAGGGACTCTGCAATGAAGAAGAAATCAAAGAGGGAGAAGGTTCAACTTTGCTTTTTTGAGACCAGAGATCTGATGGGAGCAAGATGCTCAGCAAACTCTAGCCTTCATTGTTGCTCCAAATGTGTTCAGGTTGCATCACAGTCCTCAATTTTGCAGAGTAGTCTGCTCCCATTGGTTTCCAACTGCTCAGCACCTGGCAGAAGGGATTCATTTGTCTTACCAGATCCTCTTTTCCCCACTTGTTTTTAAATCCATCACAACAGAACTGCAGCAGAGAAGAAAAATAGCTAGTTCCTCCCTCCCTGTGCTCCAGAGGTGTAATCACATTGTTTTCCCTGTAACAGATAATATGCCAGTTTTATGGGACTTGATAAAAATGTGTTGGAATGTCTAGGCTTCAGCAAGTGTTGAAGGGGCTCTAGCATCCTTGGCTTTACCTTTCCACAGTTCCCTCCCAACCCTGTGTGCGCTGCAGTGTTCTGGGAGTGTAAATGAGGATTGTGTGGTCTGGGAAGCAAGAAAAAGCTGAACATTTAGGGGTAGATTGTTCCTATATCTTATTCATCCATGTGGGGCAAGTAAGACACCACTTCTTCATTTCTCCACTGCTAGGTAGGTGGAGGGCAAAATAGGTTCTTAGCCTCAACCTAAGGCAGAGACAATAGATTGCTGACTTGGGATACCACCTCTGTGTGTGTGTTTGTATGTGTGGGTAGGCAGTGGAAGGACCCTAGATCTCCCCCTCACTTCTCAGTAGGGTAATGGGTTGGTTGCCTGGGTAGACTAAGTTGCTCTTTGAAGAGTGTGCAATTCCCAATGAAGATGGCAAGTAGTGGACCAGAGAAAGCACTTTGCCTCCTTGCATGTGCAGTATCTCCCAGGAGGTCGCCCTAAGAGTGCATAACTATGCACTTCACTTTCCTGAGCTGAGCCAATGATTCCATGGACCCCATTTTTCTTGCCTAGCCTTATAGGGTTGTATGAATACTAATTACTATTGTATAATATTTTGTTGTACATAAGTGCTAATTATTACATTGTATGTTAATTTAATATCAGCTTACATTATTTGCTAAGTAGTTGCTTACAGTGTCTATTGTGTGATTAAAAAAATAAATAAATAGCAACTACCTCTAAGGCTGCAGTAAAGAATGATATAGAAGTCTTCTGAAAATTGTATATATCAAACAATGCAATTTCCAAGTGACACTAATCTCCATCAGGCAGATGAATAGAAGGTGCTGTTATGAATTAAAGTTCTTGAAACTTCAGCTTTGGAAATTTGTGGAAGCTCAGGAAATATAAATTGTCAAGCATTGTAAATCAAAATGAGAATTTAGCATGTCGTAAATTTGAAATGCCCTGTTAATTGCAAGAGCAATTTCAAGATCTTCGTTTTAAATAGAACAGCTTTTGCCAATAATATGTCATCATAGGGTCCAGGAACTTTAAATCAATAGAAATGAAGGATGAGTGGTACAAGACCTATGAAAGAAATATTTTGGCTTAGCAGTGCTTTGGTTTATTGATATAAACTATGGTAAATTTCAAATGAAATACTGAAGAACCAAAGTTTCGACAACATACTTAAAAGCTGTCTACTTTTAACCATGAGCAAGTGCTATAGATAATGTATTACTAAAAATAACATTCATTCTAAAAAGGGTTAAATGTTGTATCAATTCTGCCATGAGTCAAAGAGTTAACTCTTTATTTTCCCTTGAAAAACTAAAGTAAAAGCAGCATCTGTTCAAGGCTCCTAGAATAATGTACCTTGACGACATTTCCCTAATGAACATTATTGCCACATAAAAGCATGGTTGCAGAGCTGTTTATTTGTGTTTGTTGTTTAGGTTTCCTTTATAAACAGAGAAGACATTTTTACATAGGCTAGGCAAATTAGCCAAATTGTCACATCCATGCATTAAATTCAGAGCTGGGAATTTTGTTAATGTAAGTCTTGAAAATGAAGGCCCTGGGCTCCATGTTGCTACCCTTCAGTTCTTCTAAGATGGTACTTTGATTTCTGAGCTGTCTCTTAACTTCAGCTGCAGAATGTTAGTACCTACTGGCTGTTTAGGGTTTTAACCACCAAGATGCTAACATAGGCAGAGGGGTATGGCCATGCCACACTAAGCTGGGCTCACATGTTGTGAGGGCTCTGAACTCACCAGTCGATTGGCACAGGTTCTGACTAGAGCTCGTACTGTCACGCAGCTCTGGAGCGCAGGGGATGAGCATTGCTGCTGTTTGCCTTCCCTTCTTCTCCCACACCTGAATTCAGCAACAAGGGATGAGAAGCAGTGAGTAGTGGCAATGCTCAGCTGCTGGGCTTTGGAGCTGTGTAAAAAAAAGAAAAAAGTGGGGGGCTCTGGCCAGAGCCTGTGCCAATCATCAGTGAACTCAGAAATGCCAGCAGGAGCTTTGCTGACATACCATGCTTGTGCCACGCAACTGAAAAGGGATGCAACCACACTGCCATGTCCTCCTGGATTTGCCTCTAATTCATGAGAACCCTCTGTAATGTTCTAAGAACCTATAACTTCTTTCATTGAAATGAGGAAGAAGGTCAGAGGAAGCATTCAGTACTTCATAAAACTGGATATTTGGAACAGAAGCTTTTGTCAGCTTAAGGTACAAACAAGGAAACTCATGGTGGACTGCAGATATGATATATAAGACAGTAACTAGGGAAAACGGGCAAAAAGAAGGAAATTGAATAAGAAGAGAGAGGACTGAACAATGAATGGGAGATTTGCAAGTGGTTATTAAATGCAAGTTTCTGTTGTGCTTTTCAGAGTATGAGGTTGTATCAACTGAAAATGGAGCACCTACTGGGAAAAACCAGTCAATTATTACTACAAATCAAACTCATTCTGCAGTGGAAAACCTAAAGCCTGATACAAGGTAATGAAGTAAGAAATTTCCTGATGTATTTAACTAATTTAGATGATCTGTCATCTCTCAGTTTAAATATCAAATTACAAGCAAGAACAAAATGACAGAATTGTAATTCTGGTTGGAAAGAGATTTTTTTTACTCTATAAAAAATAAAAGGTCAAAAACACAAGTCTGAGTAGCCATCAGGGATTTTGCCATTGTCTCAGCCCTCAAGTTCTGTGTCCATTTTGAAGAGATTTAGTCTTTGTTCTGGCAAAGAGAATGACAACCCCAATTCAAGAAAGCCTATCACCTCTTATAAAGAAAATCTAGTAGCAAGATTCTTTACAAATTACTAAAGCTTAATCCTTAATGATTATGTAAAGATAAGTGTTAACTTTCCTTATAATTCAAAACACATAGAAAAATACCACTATTGCTCACTCTACCCTTTTTTCCTGCTG